TTTATCTTATCTTATTTTCACAACAGTGAAAGCTTTTCTTTTTGCATGTCACCTAAAAATTTACATTATTTTCAGTATTCAAGAGACAACTTATCCTTGTAACAGATTCGTTAATAAATTCACCCACGAGGTGTGTGACTTATGGCGCAAATAATTTTTTTATGTATAATGATACTTTAAAATATTATCTTAAAATTTTAGCTGCTCAAACTGGCAAAATTCCTTTTAATAATTTTTTTGGCGGTTGATCCCAAATATTAGTGAAAATGGAGAAAAACAAATTTTGGGCTCTGGCGGATTTTATGTATTTAATTCGTATTTGAGAAAGTACGGTTTGTTTAAAATGAAAAACCTTACCATACAGATTTCGTATTGTTGAATAATGTCTTCACTATAGTTATATAGCTAACCACTTATACCGCTAATTTTAGTCAACTAAATAACGGAAGTATATTAATGTTAGCAGATACCATCTTAATTTGTCCTCAGCAATGTTAGCCATCCATGTATTGATTAAAGCGGAAACCTTTATCGTGATGCCTGTATTATGAGTCTCAATATGTTGTTTCGAAAATGATAGATCATAACAATACTATTTTTTATTACTGGTCCATTCAGTAATGCATTCAGTAATTACCTAGCCAAAAACGTTATTAACAGCAAGTTAGAGAATAGGAGTTTTAGTTAATGCGTGAGTTCTTATTTAGACCAAAGGAAAGCAGTGCCGCATCAATAGTGAATATAGAAATTTTAGAATTATTGATACCAGGACGCCTCATTTCGACACATCTGCTTTTATTTCTGTAAGTTTAGAGTAGAAAAGTATGTACAATACAAAGTGCTAGATATATTGAAAATTAAGCTTTTGAATTATTATAAAAAATACAATTTTCATTTAGCATTAATATTTCACATTTATTCTTATACGTTTAATTAAGAATAGATCACTTATCGATAAAGTAGTACAATATAATCTTTCGGATCGCTAAAATTGTGAAGTGACATCTCAAAAGCGATTAATTTTTTTGCAATTTTAAATGTATAACAAATAAATTTTTGAACTGTTACATTGTATAAAAATAATTTAATTGAAATACAATATATTAATAAATAGTAGTTTTGTAAAATATAGTAGACGTAAAAATTTCATCAGTAATTGTATGATAAACTTGTTCAAAAAGATATGCGCGGTTTTGTTGCAAAATAGTTTTAGTAAATTTGGTTCCGGAGTTCTGTGTTACTTGTTTGGTGGTAAAATACCCTCTTAATTTGCTTAGTTACTTAACTTGTTACATTTACATACACTTATATATATTTATTCTTCTAATCAACAATTTAAAAATACATTAAAACTACAATAGAACATTTTTGTAAAGTTAATTTAAATATAATAAAAATATTTTAATTTTATATTTTTTTTAAGCTTATTTCGACTGAATCTGTCATTCATAGTTCTTATGTAGGAGGGATTGTTTGAGCCAATCCCCACCGGCTGAGGCATGTTGCGGTAGAAATGCTTTTGTTCGGGTTCAACTCTATAATCTTAAAAATCTTTTATGATATATTTTTGTTTATATATTTGAACGAAGGTCATTTGTTTAATTTAGTATTGGTTAGATTAAAAACAATTGAATATGTGTGCGTTTTTAATATTTTAGATAACCAAAATTTATAACCCGAAATAATACCTCTTCAAATATTTATTCCATTAAACATGACTTTTCTACCCCTTCAGCCAGCTAGTGGGACCTTGCCTTTTAAATAGGATGCATTTTGTTTATTTGCTTTTTCAGATATATATGTTTGTCGTATACGAGAGGTCTGCATTTAAAAACATAGCCGAAATATATGCTTTAACTATTATTGTTAAAAACTTTCCTGACACTAAAAAATAAGATATAAAAAAATATCTCACTTAGTAATTGTAGTTAATAATAATAATTATTGTAAAAATCAAATATTGAAGAATGAAGTAAATTTGGTATTTAAATGTGGATGTCCGCATTGTGCTTATTATTGATATTCTGTTATTCTTGTGTAGTATTTTGTTTTTATTAGTTTTATTTTATATTAATTATTAATTATGGTAATGGGAAGTAACATATGAAAAATGTAGATCTTCTAAATATACAAGAACAGACTAAACAAAAACAGCAGCACAAACGTAATAAACGTCACAAACGTGGGTGATCAATGTCAAAAACAAAATAAAATAAATGAAACGTAACCGAAATTAACATGGCACCAAATCAAATGTCAATGTTAATCCTTTCTTTGAGGATTATATATTTTGACTTTTCTGCAGAAATTTTTTGTTATTTTATTCATTTGTTCCCTGTTTTCAGTGCTGTTAACTTGCAATTCTAAAAAATTTACCTTATTTTTAAACATATGTGCTTTACAGAAATTTTTAAGCCTTAACCTAAACTTTTCTAGATCTACCATTATTTCTGGTACTGGCATTATTCATGTTTAAGCATTTTTCGTGCAGTTAGCTAGCAGTTTTGCTTATTTTAGTGCCGTTTTTATAATATTGTTTTGGATAGCTGGTTTAGACGTTTTTAGTGCTGTTCAATAGCAATTCTGAATTTTTTTTATATTAGTGTATATACATAGGCATGGGTTGATTTTATTTAAGCTGCTGATGTAATGTATAACTAATGTGTATATCATATGTCATTGTTGCTTTCTTTAAAAAAAAAAACAACTATTGATTATTCTTTATACTGGCATATAGTCTTACTTTTGTTTTTTTTTGTAATTTTGTTTCATTGAAACATAAAAGAAATCAATTTGAACCTCTGATTTAGATGCTTTTGTAAATAATTCTGAGAATTTTTTTATTCTACTGTTGTTATTTTTGTTGCAGCAATGGTCCTTAAGTAGTAAAATAAATCTTTGCTAGATCTGATACTTTGACTAATGTTCTCTTTCTTATTTATAATTCATAGTGTATTTATAATTCTATTAATTATATTTTTTATTATAATAGGCTGTGCTTATAATTTATTAGTTTTTGAATGTTTTGTAATAATATTCTAACATCTTAGGGAGTTATGAGTACACTGTAGAAGTGTATGCATGTATGCATACTACACTTATTATCCTTAACAATAATGAGTATAGTACATTTAATTATTAAGTAGTCTTTGTTTAATTTCTCTGGAAGTATTTCAATGTTCTGTTCTATAATTTTTAAATATGTTTGTGTATTTTTTTTTTATTTTGGAGCTATAGTCTCATTTGAGCCATTTTCATTGTGATTTCAAATGTAGTTATGCAGACCTCTATAGTACACATTTTAGTTTTAAGTTTTGCTTTTTTAATTTATTTTCTGCTCATTTGGACTGTATTTTGGTGGGTTTGTTTTTTGTTATTCAATATTATTAATGTATCTCAGTATTTAATTTTAAAAGTCTGATATTGCTATATAAGTAGATTAAGCTGTTAATTTTGATTTTTTGCATTTTTATTTTACTGTTAAATATTTCTGTTAATTCATAAAAAAATTTACAAATTTTCAACTCTTTTATCATTGTCTTGAATCTTATATTACTTATTAACTGAAGCGTTTATTGTGATAAATGTAATGCTATTGATATTGCAGTCAAACCGTCATTCTATATTTATTACAATTTAAACACATGTTTGTATTTGAATTTCACAATACATAGTTCAACAGAACTACATAATTGCTTTGTTTCAGATATAACTATATATAATTATAAAAATTAGAAGGAACAAAAACAATGTCATACCTTTCGTTTGTTGTAATAAATCGAAATGTCAGTGTGAACGCCTACTTCAAAATACAGTGATACTATTTTTATTGTGATAAGTCAATATCAAGTTCAACGTATTATTAAATAATATTTCGAATTCATAAAGGAATATTGGAAAATTTGTTTATTCCAAACGAATTTTTTTTTCAACTTGTAAATAAATAAAATAAAGAAATTATTAAAATAAGAAGTCCTCTTAAAAAAACGTATACATATATAAACATATGACTTACATATATAAACATATGACGTATTTTTACAAAATACGAGTTCAACAATATAATAGGTACTTAACATTTAACATTTTATCTTAATTCACATTTCAAAATACACATTGATTTATAAATTGATTTGCTTACTAAAATTGTTTCACTTACATACACCCAATACGGTTAATATAAGATACAATATATAATTGATTGATTATACTGTAGAAAAGCAGCATTTTGATAGGTATAAAAGGTTACTTTTTACTTAAGATACTAGGATACTAAATTTTTAAAGTACAAATATACAAAAAGTCACAATTGAGACAGCCTTTAAAAGGATTTTTCTAAATAAAAAACAATTTCAGATGTAAAGCATACAGTTTCTTGTAGAAATATAAGGTGATGTAAAGAAGAGAGATGGAAGAAGGCTACCTAAATGGATGAGGTGGGAGATACTTATTTTAATAAAATCTCTTTAAGGATAATAGTGGGTAGGTTAGGTTATTTAAAAAACACAAATATAGAAGCTCTAAGTTACATATTTTGATTGAATTTGTTCCCACAGTGGGATGGATTTTCATATGTTTAGTATTTTTTTGTATATAGTATGTATATATAATTTCACAGAGATACACAGTACAAACTAAAACTTACCTAATTATAATATTCGTAAGCTTTTAAAAAACTAATTACTTGTATATAAATATGTAGTTTTCAATTGACAACAATTACTGAACATTTATGATCCTTATATTTTAAATGAATATATGATTATATATTCTTAATTTTCATTTAATGCGCTTATTTACCTTTATTAGTAATTTCAAAAGCGAAAAACAAATTTCCCTAATAATTCATACTTAAATTGTTTACTTCTCTCACCTTTGAATTTTAGTACCTTAAAGGTCCTTTAACTCTTCCCTTTATTTAAAATACAATATAGTTATTCTTTACTTAAAATTCGTTAGAGAGAGTAGACATGCAAATGGAGTTAAAAATTAGATTTGCACGTTTTCGTTATGTAAAAAATATTTTTATATGTCAAATACTTTCAATTTTTAACTTAATTCTGAAGGTATCGCATTCTTATTAGTACATTAATACAATATAACTCATACGTCACGGTGTACAACAGTTCCTTCTAATAATATGAGGATATTCGTGATATTATCATCAAATTTAATATCAGCATCAATCATTGTGGTTATTGGTTGGTTGCCGAAATTTTGCTTATTTGAGGTTCCACTTAACTTAAACTCAATTTTTGATAAAATCTATCCAAAAATAAATTTTTTGTTATAAAATCAATAATTGTTAGATAAGACTTACAATACCATCATCGCCACAAGTACATTCATGTATTTCTGTTAGAGCTCCTTTACTACTCCAACCAAACACGTTTTTAAATGATTCTGTTTCTTGCAGGCTTTTTAACTTATAAACCGAGATTTTTGCTTACGCACAAAATCTTGGGCTTGCTTATCATTGACTCGCAACTCCAAAATTTGTAGAATTGGATCATCTACGACGAAAACAAAAAAAATTTTGTGTCACATAAGAATCTTATATGTAATATTAGTGGTAATCATATTATTTGAATTATTAGATATTTGAGCAATTCGACAAACCAAAAAAAACTTAGGATTCATACATTTATTTTGTCAAAACATTATATTACGGTCTTAAGTTCTACTATTCAAAACATTCGAATATGAATATAATTAGGAACAGTTTTATGCACTTGAGTATAAGTGCATAGGTTTGTTCTCGAAATAACTTGAGTGCAATTAAATTAATTTTTTTATATACTTACTCTTGTCTCGTTGTTGCATAAGGGGTAACTCTATTTGTTTCAGCCCGTGAAAATTTTCTACACTGGTGTTATAGTCAGCAACGCCTGGTATTGTACCTAAAGCCAAATATGCCTCCCCACCGAAATCGTTTGCAGTGAGTACGTCGTGATCCATTACAGTAAAGCAAATCATAGCACCTTCGGTTAAGCACTGCTCCAGGCTGACAGAGAACTCAAAACATTCATCGAAAATTGGATTTAAAGTTTTCTAAAGTTAGGAAAAGAATATTTATTGGAGCGCTTATTAAAATTGGTATTTATTGGTAAATTGGTCCTTACCTTGTGCACGTTTGTCTGTTGTTCGATGCAATGCATAAAAATCCTTCTAGGCAATAGTTCAATTATAACAAATGGATCACTAAATCCATTCGGATCCAATGGTACAATATCTCTTCCATGTAACACTTCAACGCAAAGTGAATCATGGTTGAAATATGCTCGTACAGTAAGCGACCCATACGGTCCTGGTGTTACAGAGACTAACTGCTCTCTCAAACGATTTAAATAAAACATATCCATTAGCCGTTCTGTTTCAGTTTTATGAAATTGAAGACGTTGCTCAATACGCCAAAAGTCGTCTGTGTGTAAACACTCTAGCGATAAGCCTTGTCCTTCCGCATGGAAAAAATCAACTAATAGTTGCATCGCCTCATATAAACGTTTGTGAAAGTTTGATGGCTTATCACTTTCGTCACCAGTTTCCATTTGGCGTGACATTTCACAAAGCACAGTCTTCCAAATAAATCGTAAAGAACGGTTAAAGTTTTTTGTTAGCAATGCACTATTGAGCGCTGCAAGATGGCAATCTAAATACTCCAACAATGGCACAATAGCCTGATTTGCTGGCAATGAATCTGGTGACCATGCTAAATGAAACACTGCTTTTTGCAGGGACATCTGCATTAAAGGTGCCAACTTTGATAATATACGTTCACATCGATTTTCCATATGTGTCAAGCTAGATTCTAGTAAATTATCAGCTGCTTCCTCCAATGGCTGTTCATCTGAACGAAAATCCGCTAATGTACGTCGCACATACTCCAAGTTATTAACTGTTACACACATATCATCAGAACAACGAAATGGACCCTGTTGCTCATAATAACCACCATCAGCGAGTGATGTATGAACAAGATCGCAATAGTGCATAGCAGCTGAACAGACAACATCAATAAGCTGCGACTCTAACATTATTGCTGTTTCTTCTTCAGGCCAACTTATTACTTTCCAGAATTCCTTAATATTCAATAGAGTGGATGCTGTATCTACCGACGAAGAACTATACCTCACAACACGCTCACCTTCACAAATAGCGTCCATGCGTATGGCGGCTCGTATTCGTTGCAACGCTTTCACTTTGCTAATCATCATCCATCGTTCAAGCGTTGGTATAAACCATTCATGACAGTTAGCTAATGATAATGGATTCTCAGGTGGTTGCGGCTGTACCGAAAGGTGCCGCTTCAATTGACAAAACTCTTGCAACGCAAGAAACAGTTCAAACGGTTTAATATCTATAAGTTCACTTTCTCCTTCCTGAATAGCATATTGAGATAAATTCATTCTTATGCCCGGCACTTGGCCAGAAGCCATGCGCGTGTACACTTCTTCTCCCACCATTGCATCATACTGCTTATATATTATGGAAAAATATTGGATGCCGTTTGTGCTAAATTAAAATACGTTTCAAATTCAATTAAAGAGTACTAATTAATACTTACTAATTAAATAGATAAATGTAATACAAATAAAATAGACTTATCAAAATTTAAAGAAAGAGGAAATATTTCAATAATACTGATTAACAACCCTGAATTTTATTCACTGCATGGTAACACAATTTTCCAGTAGGCCTAAGTGGATCCCCTAGGGAGCGCCGGTATAACCTAACCTACTGAATAACATACCTATAAAAATTATGGTTTAATAAAAAATTAAAAGTTACGAATTTAGTTCTTTAAATTTATATAAAATTTCAATTGATTCAAAAATTATTTAGAAACACTTATTCTTACTTTAGTTGGAATAAAATAAACTTTAACTATATATCTATTTCTACTCTCAAAATATTATAAAATTTTGGCAATACAACTTTGAGGAATGTGCGTTATCGCATGTAATGGCTTCAGTACAAAAACTACTTTTAAAAAGACCTGTCTACTTTAGAATCCATATACAAAACTTATGTATTAATATAAAAAATAGTATTATTATTAATCTAATCACGATATCCTAGTCATAATATACAATCGAAACGAGTAACTATGTTTAACCAAAAAAACATTATATAAACTTAATTTATTGGAAAACACATATCAGATATTAACTTTTTGAAGAAATACGTTCATACTTACTTATCGAACAAAGCGTGGTAGTAAGATTGTCCCAACTGTATATCTGCTGTAACAGTTGTAACGAAATTCGCCAAGGGATTTGGTAAGCATTGTGATTCACGTAACACATTTTGTCCCCACATTACAGAGCCCTTACGTAATGCGTTTACAACTTCACCTCGAACACCTTTATTAAAAGGACAAACAGCACGGAAAGCCCTCATTGATCCTAATAAGCCCAAACAACGTAGCAAGAATTCCAGACGTATCAAAGATGGTGGATTAAGTGCGGGAAAAATGTCTCTATGTCTTCGAATTTGATTGAGAGACCGTTCTACAAATCCGGTCATCGCTTCAGCCAACCACTGCTCCAAGTCACGTGTAAGAGCTTCTTGATTTGGATGATTCCAATGTTTTTCAACATCCCCTAAAAGTCGATGTACAAATTTTGGATCCAATGGTGTAGTCCGATTAAGCTTAACAGCAGCTACAAATCTAAATTAAGAAAAATAATATCTCTTGAAACTTACTAATAAAAAAGGAGTCATATTTGTTTAAAATATATGTATATGTAAAGTCTAATTTAGCGCCATATACGTATGTGACATCAATGATATATCCCATAACACAATTTTATGATAGAGTTTTATCGAACATATAATATAACTGTCTTACCTAGCCATAGCGCAGTGTAAATCAGATAGGTCAGCTTGTACAGCTAATTGGTGTAATATTGTTAAAGCTGGTCCAGGCAAATCTCCTGTCCATGTCCATGATGGCTCATATGTGGACACCTCATGCTGCATAAATACTGCATGTAGTTTTTCAATTTTAGTGATTTCAATCTCACTATCCTCTTCGGAAGTTCCGTGATCTTCTCGTGTTGACAGCCAAAGCTTCAAACGTATACGTCCTTGTACAGTACTACGATGACTACGTGCTTCCAGTTTAAACCAACATTCCATTCCAGTCGATGGTATATCAGCAATTGGTATATTTACACTACCAAGAAAATCGTCCTGTGAACCTTGTCTAGCAGATTGACAAACTTGCTTGAAAAATCGACCTAAACCACGTACACCCCGCACTTCATTCAAGCGAGATACTGCATCCATAACGCAGCTTTCATCATCATGATCCCAAATATCCAAATGAAATGTGTCTGTATGAATATCATCAATATCACTGCATAAAAAACAATTGGAAATTAAAAGTAGTACCAAAACTATTCTTAAAAAATAAAAAATATATCTATTGATGTATATATACATAAATATTAATACCATATTGTTGGGGCTTCAAGCATTTTTGAAGCCACTGCGAAACAAAACAATGTATGTGAACACAAAAATGAAAACAACCGAATCACGTCGGGGTCACCAAATGTTGGGGCTTCAAGCGTTTTTGAAGCCACTGCATTTGGTGACCCCGACGTGATTCGGTTGTTTTAATTTTTGTGTTCTCATACATTGTTTTGTTTCGCAGTGGCTTCAAAAATGCTTGAAGCCCCAACACATACTATATAGTTTAAAGCGGCTAATAATAAGTGCATTACTATATAGTTTTTGATTATTCTATGTTACAGTTAACTAAGTGATGTCAAGTGATGGTAAATGAATATTAGTTACCATCACACATTTATAATAAAAAACTTTTATTCCTGTGATCACCTAACATATACCCATTCCTTATCTGTCAAAACTTACCTATACTAATATTTTATTAGTTAATAAAATTTATAGAATGAGAAAATATTATAAACTTTGGATTCGAGACTGATCTAAGCAAAGTGGTGGATTAAGGCGCAATCAAGTGAAGTTCATCTAATTAATCAATAAAATTTTGATGTACATTTTGATGAACTTAGATGTATAGAAGTATCTCAACGAACTCAAAATACGTACATAGCAGCAAAACAAAAAGTTGCTGGATGTAATAAAACTGAAGTGAATGTATGTATGACAGTTGTTGTGAAATTGGATGAAGTAGACAGTCGACAGTTTATCTCTACTGTGACAACACCCAATTGTTTGCCTGAACGGACTTGAGTAGAATTACGAAGAATTGTTTGTTTAACTTCAACATGTGCGAACGCGAACGTTGTCTTGACTCCTAAAGGCTATCAAGTGTTAAAGATTTTAACTGGAAAAACTGGATGAAATTTGTTTTCGTTGTATTAATTTTCTTTACCTATACGAATGTGTATAAATCTCATTTCATTGTTGCAAATTTTCCAAATTATTCGAATCGATTTTTGTATATAAGAACTTATGGCTTCAGTTTTAAATTAAAAAAAATTTACAAAGATTTTTACTCTTTCAATTTTTTTGGGCAAAAACAAAAAGTTCAAATTACTTGAAAGTCTTAAACGTGCATATAATGGCATTGACACATTTATTTGCACTTTCGACATACTTTTGAAGTACTTACAATTTAAATTTCTCATTCCACTTGGGGCTTAGTGTGTGTGGTTTGATTGAAGTCGCACGTATAAATTTTGCTGGTACTGGACCACCCAACGAGTCTCTCTGCTCACGACGGCCAGCCTCACGTCGCTTGAAGCTTAAGCGAAAGCTGTGTTTTCGATGGGGAGGTGAATCAGTATTTGCATTATCAAAAGTATTCACGTCAGCAGAAAGTGCACGTGGTGTGGGGGGTAAAGGCAGTGGAGAAACAGGTGGACCCCCATCTGGTTGAATCCCTAACATACAATAGGGATCGGAAAAGCCTGAAATTTAAAATTGAAGCATGTTTAAAATTAAAATACATAAAACAAAACGGAAAAAATGAAAAGACATCAATAATGGATCTATATAAAGAATTAAGGTAGTTAAATATTGGGCAAATCCTTTCATTTTTAACGTAGATATGTAATTATTCTGCAAAATTATTCCACTGAAAGATTGTTTTCTGCATTTTTATTAAGTGCTATTAATGCAGTTAGCAAACACGTTTTTATTTTTTTTATTTTCTATTATATCATTCTTTTGATGATATAAGCTGGCACTTTGGCTTAAAAACTTTTTAAATTATCCAATACCAAGTTTAAAAACTTTTGTATTGCAATAGATTTTATATTCATTGGTTACAAACCATAACCATTTTTATCATTAATGCTTTATAGCACACCGCTGAAATTTAAATTAATTTGATTTAATTAATATTTATATTAATAATTCTTATTTTTATTCTAACATAGAAATATATACGAGATGGGATCAAAAAGACAAGATAAGATTTTAGAATTACACACTTTGTATCTTGTTAATCGAGTCGCGGTTTTTTTGTGTGCTGATTGCACTATCAGTAACGTATGAGTTGGCTATCATAGAGCTGCAATGTTTAGACATACATTAGTGTATTTGATATTTTTGAGTACAATATATTGGATTAAAGAGTTTGTGTGAAACTGTATGTTAGAAACAAAAGTATGTCTGAATTTCATATCAGCCTTCGGCAATGATATCGTGTCACATCTACAAGGACTGACACAAACGCTTGCATATTCTTTATCCATAAATGTTTTATGACTATATCCATATATGATAAGAAAGGTGGAAAATTAATCAGATTGTACTTTGTAATAGCATAGTTACTATTAGAGAGATTACTAAAGAAATGGACTATAGTCATAGAAATCTTACCATTAGCATCTTTAGCTTCAAGTCCGTCTGCTTCGATCACAACTACCGATAGTACAATTATCTTTTGTTTATCCTCAGCAGCGGCGTGTAAAAGTCGATAATGCCTGTCCGGACTTACCCCGAATGCTCGTTGCGCATGCAGATACATTTCTTCTTTGTAATGAGCAAACTGAAATTTCAAAAAAAATATTTCGATAGATAAAAAAAACGTACAACAGAACAGTTCATATATATGTTTCCTAAAGTAATTTAATTGGAAAACAAAGTAACAGAGCAAAATATTTGTATTTTAAAATATCTACGAAGTTTCGTTATGTCCTTATTAAAAAAAGGTCCCATAATTTAAATATTCTATAAACTACACTTAAAATTTATATAATAATTTTCGATTATTATTTTATATATTTTTTTAGCATCATTTAAAAATACAATACATAAAAAATTAATATAATTAAACTTTTACCCAACAAAACTAAGTATTCTTTTTATTTGTTCAATTAATATTTTTTATATATTTTCTTTTGTTGTTGAGCATCCTTAAATAACTTACCTGTCCACCTGGTGCAGGAGCTCCTACGGTATTGGCAATTGTATGCAAAACTTCAACATATAATTTCTCCTTCTCCTCTTGCTTATCAATTGTTTCTTCAGGCGGTTGTGGATCACGTTCATTTTCCGGGTTGGCTTCAGCACGTGCCTCAGCAGCACGCGTTGCTGACATTCGACGATTTTCTCGCTTCCAACCTAACGAGGTAAAGTTTTCAAAATAGGACCCATCAGTCTCCTGCACACTGGAAAAAATTAAGAAGAACAAATACAATAAAACGAAAATTGAGGAAATTTGATTTTCCGCTTATACTTTAGAGTACTTTTTCTCATTCATTTCGTTTTATTTTTGATAAACTTTCTTATATTTGCTATACTACGTTTACTTAAGCATCATGTTCTACCAATTCCGAGATACTTTGCCAATTTTCACATCATCAAACCAAACATAAGGAATATTACGTGTATTTGTCACTTAGATATTCTTGTAGTTTTCAGAAAAATAAATAAATGTGTTTGTTTTTCAGTCACTTTGGAAATCATAATCGTCCTATCATCTATTTTATACAAATAGACGTATTCTCCGCACAACGTGTGTGTTGCAACTTTCTGCCAAACCCACTTCAAATTGAAAAGGGTTAATTCGTTTTAATACTTCCCACATCAAAGCTGGAAAACTAAGTTCGAAACACAACTTACTTCCGTGCGCAAAAATAATCTAATTAAATAAATACACATGGAAAAGATACTTCTGATTTAAAAAATGAATATTTTTACCACAAATTACGAATATTATGAGGACAAAAAGTGGTACCACTTCATTTAGTTCCAAATCCTTAAAATTCAAATTGAGTCAAAGGAAAACTTTGCGTATTGTACGGTCAGAATAAATACGTAGTAGTAATAAATGACATTTTATTAACATTTCAATCAATTTTTATCATTTTAAGGTATGCCGATGTCTTCACTTAAGATTGGAGATATTTTACCGGATGCCATTAGTCTTCGTTATTATTTACACATTGATAATGCTAATTCAGAGATTTTCAACATAAATTTTTAATCTAATGACTTTTATTTCTTTTTTTTTGAAACTAGTTTGCAACTACTTTGTAACAGTTTTCATCACGTATTGTATACACTGAGTTGACCTGGACTGCTGTTTTTAAAAAGATCCGGAAACCAAGAAACAACAATAAAAATTCAAAAACTATTTTGCAATGCAATAATATAGTTTCTGGTACACATAGCACAAAATTTATAAAATCAACAAGAATTTAAGTGCACTTAGTATTTTATCATTTTTAGCACTAAGGTATGTCCTTAGTATTTATAAGGAATGTCCTCAGTTCCGCTTATTAGTGCGGAATATTCTCATAATAGTTTTAAAATGCATAAATAATCTTTAAACATTAAAACTTTATAAACAAAACTATTCTACAGAAATTGTTTCTTATATTCATTTCATGTTTTCGGTGCTGTTATCGAGCACTTTCAGTTCATACTGCTTTTTTTGGTGTTATTAGATGCACTTACTCGATGACGGCACTAGACGTCAGCGACGTCAGTGACCGCCCACGGCCTACAGGGGCCTCGCAAATAGTCGATTACCAAACGAAGACTTTCTAAAGCATTGTAATGCTTTAGGTTTAATTCGGCCTATTGAACTATATGAGAAACTACTGCTTTTAAAATTGAACTCACTACACTCAATCAACGATATAAAGCAACTCGCCCGGTATATTTAAGAAAATAATTCAAAGGAAGTATATCCAAATATTTATATAGTGACCAGAATCATGCTCCCAGTTCCAGACTGTATAGCGCATCTACTGAAAGTAATTTCTCAAAGTTAGAATGAATTGAGACCTAATTGAGAAGTACGATGAGCCAAAACGGATTATCTCCATTGGCAATGCTATCAATTAAAGCGTGAAAATAGCAGCTGCTGCAAATTATGATATAATCTTAAAAAAATTGAGTGAGCCTCAAAATAGGAAAATTCATTTATTTTAATTTATGTTTATTTTAATTTGATTAGCAATAAAACGTATTAGTGAATGTAAATTATTTACTTTTATTATTCAGTAATGAAAGGGGCTTCGCAATTCTGATTTCGCCGACGTCCAAAGTTGGTCTAGCTCCGCCACTGCACTTTCTACATATATTTACTATATACCATATATGGTACTTTACTTATTATATAGGTATAAGTAAAGTTGGGCATTAGTAATATGATGAGCATTTCTTCGCGTTTGATGTGAATTTAAGTAAAATAGAATTAATATTAGCAGTATTCTTATTTCAATAACACATATATTTCACTGAAATATATATATATCAAAGTACATAAGCTAATGATATGATATTAAGCATTTTTTCAAAATTAGCACCAAATTTAAGTTTCTCTCAGAATAAATTTCTTTGCTTTTACTAGGAGTTATCGTTTTTTTAATTATATTGATTTAATTAAAATTTATTTTATTTTATTTGTTTCAAATTTACCGTTTTAAATGCAAATGCAGATTATTTAAAGTCTGGCAAATGAAAATATATCATATTAGAATTTAACACTCACCCGGAATTTGAGCGAGGATCAACCTCAGGCCATGATAAACGCCGTTTGCAAAATGCTAACGGGGCACGAGGTGGTGGATCTTGTTGAAGTAACGCTGCATTCCGCTGACGAAATGATCCAGTTCGCATTGGAGCTAAACACTCTAAAGCACGTGACTGACGTCGAGTAGGCGTATTATTAGTTGACGCAGATCCTTGCGGTGGAACGACTTTGGGATACCCTAAAATATTTCAAAACAAAGTTTTATTTAACTAACAAATTAATATTAATATTATACTCGAATAATATTCTAAAAAAATTTTAAAAATATCCAAATATTTTTAAAGTATGCGGGAAAATGAATATAAATATACTTTTAAATAAATGTTTTGCGGAGTACAGTACTCCTTTCTTGTAAGTACCAAGTACCATATGAATTGCATTTGGTAGATACTAAAGATATACTTTTATAATAAGATATTGTAAAAAGATTAAAAAAATAAAAACACTTTAGACTTTACATTGTTTTCTTATAAATAAATTGTTTACTCTTAATAATAACTTTTTGGTTGACTTTATAAAGATCTACTTAAAAACTTAGTTTGGCTTTTAGAGGCTAGTCTAAGTATAACAAGAGATAACTTACATATTGCGTAATACCTTTTCAATATAAAGGTACAGGTCTAATAATTAATCTGTTAACAGCATCAAGTAATTTTTAGCAAATCATCATACAAAGACTTGCTTCCGAGCAGCGTTTATAAATTGTTTGGCAATGTCTGAACGAAAGTACACCAAGAACGAGCCTACGTATAAGATACTAAACCAATGAAATATATATGTTTAAGTTCCCGTATTAGTATATAATTGTATTACAAATATGGTGTAAAAGTTTTGTGATGACATTAAGATTTATTATATATAGATTGATTTTTTAGTTCATGTTGGTTCACAAAATGAACTAATTTGCATCTACCTATAATAATTCCGCGCGCCCTTAATGTTGGGCCCAAGACAACAATTATCTTGTGTTCTCCCACTGGTCATCATCGCCTCTGGTCATAATTATTTATGTGTCGCTAAGTTAATTCAGGCCACGTGTTGAAATATTGGCTTGGTTCACACTTTTATTTCATTTCTACATTCTTTCATATAATGTACTAGACATTTATACATTCATAAATATATAAACACATCCATCCATCCATAAATACATACATAGGAAAGCTTAGAACTAATAGAAATAATTTATATGTTTGGAGTTTTTTCTTGAAATATTGGAAATACGAAAACGTTGAAATGCACGGCCTTGCTTAGGTAATACAAGAAGCAAGGAGAAGCGGCGGCAATGACGGTTTTCCGTGTAAATATGTATAAGTAGGAATATCGAAGAAGTACTCATAAAGCCAGTCATCAAAAATTAAAGTAACTCGTGGAAAGTGGAAAAAGTTTTTCAATTAAAATTTCATTAGTGCTTCGAAAGGGAAAAGTAAATAGAAACAAATGCGCGTAAATACTAAATAAGCTAAATTGTTTTATGTTAAACGTTGGGATAAAAAAGAACAAGAACATTTTTAAAGAAAAATTCTTTTTTAAAAAAAGAAATGAAATTTGTTTCACATAAAAATTCTGTACAAAATGTACTCACCCAGTAACGGATTAGACGCATTTGGATTTCCGATCACCACTCCACCAGCGGGAAAACTTGTAGTAGCGATTCCAGCGCTACCAGCTGCAGGTGTGGGAGTTGCATTTCCAAAAATATTTCCAGTTTGCGTAGCACCGCCAACTGTGGTGCCAAGTGCAACACCTCCAACTACATTGGTGCCGCTGTTGGCCTGAATAGCTGTCGTAGTGGTAGCGGTTGCAGCAGAAGCACGTTCAAGTTCGCTTGATTCTTGGCGAGAAAGCGAGAAACGTCGATTTCCCAAACCGAGACTAGAAATCCCACTTGTCACATATTGTTGCATGGAACTTAGAAAACTCATTTCGCATTTGTATTTTCAATAAATCCGAGTTATTTTGTTCAAGTTTATACCGTGCACTTTTTTTTAGTATTTAAAAATCCAAAGTTCAAAAACTAACTTTAAAGTTGGACAAGTATTTCAACTGACTTCCTTTGCTAGTTCCCTAGTACACGTCTTCAGCGTAAGTTTAGTACTTGGAGGGGTGTAAATAATTAAAATTTTTTCTTCTAAGTTTTCAGCATTTGGAATTTATGGTTTAAAATGGTGTTATACTAATTTTTTATATATATTTGTTTTTAGAATTTTAGTTTCGTATGTTTCGCAAATTCATTTTAAAATTATTATTTCCTTGTATTTCCCTGTTGTTCTGTTATCCAGCAACTATAAGAAAAATATTTGTATATTATAATATTTAAGTAAATAAGAGGCTGGTCAAAAAGTATTTGGCATTTTCTATTCACTTTACTTTGAGGCTAAAAATAGTTAGTTGCTTAAATATTTTATTTTGTTGATAAGTGTTAGATTAGCTGATAATTGATAAAACTTTTAATGGGATTACTATTGCAAAGAATAAAATGTTTGGGATTTCGAAAAAAAATAGGTTGCATTTTGAATTTTTACTATAAACAATACAATAAAGGTAGGAATGCGACTAAAGTCAGAAAGTACATGCTTATCGCACTTAATCCGAAGCAACTGCCAGAAAATGGATCACTTGCTTTTATTCTCGAAATTTAGATATTGTAGATGCAACTAAATCATTCCCGATCAAACAAGATGGAAATGTGGTAAAACTGAGAATGACTACAAGGAAACTGATAATATTTGTTTAAAAACGCCACAAATGAATCTTTCTATGATTAATTCTCATCGTTTCTATTAGTATGTTATATAGGTCATAATTATCTATAAAGGCCCAGTAAAAATCAATATAATCTAAAGCATAGTTTTGCTTCACTAGTCTTCATTATTATTTGTTCAAATCCATATGGCGATTCTATTAATCTGCACATAAATAAAAGAGGTCCAATATAATAATGCACATCGTAAATACAATTGACCAATGGCAATGTTGTGACAAGTATATGACCAAACAGTAATGCTAAAATAGGTGAATTTCAAATGTAAGACTGCTTTTTGTTGTTCTTGGAAAAATAGAATTCATTCGTAATAGAATAGAAAATATTTCACTAGAATCATGGTTTTCTTGTTTTTTTATGTGGTGAAATTATGTATTCCCTCTTCCCTATTGACACATTACCTGGATACACCTATATTTCAATCCCTGCGTTAAAAGAGAACTTTAAAAACACTTGCGAAAATCGTTAAAAGATTAAATTTTTTTAATCAATCATTTGATGAGTAAATTGTTTAGAATGTAGATAAGAAATGTTTTCCAATTTGGTTAAAAAATATCAACGGTTAAAAAACATCGAAACCCAATCAATATATGAACATAAATAGTTAATATTTAAAAAAAATGATTAAATAATTCAATTATTCTACGGCTGGTTTATGATTTCGTTCTAATATAAACAAAGCAAGTGAATTTGTTTATAAAACTCTCACAACAAATTAACAAAATTCCAGAAAAATATGCGAACATAAAAGTTTGAATTTGAACATGAATTTGTGTCAGCTGGTTAAAGTGCGCTGACTCTAAGCTTTAAAATTGGCAGGACACGAGTTCGATACTTGGTACTTGCAGTCTAAAAAAATTATTTACGAATAATTAAATACAAGAATTATTCCCAATACTCGGCAATACTCGAAACAGCTGTGTGGTGAGCCAAAAATTCAATTAATTAAAATAGTATAAAATAAATTTTTGTTGTAGTTCACTACTGTTCGAAAAAACCTCTTTATATTAATGATTAAAGAAATTTGTAAAGAATATTCGTTTATATTAGAATTTTTCAACACTTTTTGAATTCAATTCCATACTGAAATTTTAATTTGTTCTTATTTTAAGACGAATAGTTACTCCAAATTCCTTGTTCAAATAATTACATATCCTAATTGCTAACACTTAACGGTAACGGAATTGTGCGCTCCTTATTAGTAGAAGTTTGGCCAATTAATACAGAAACTAGAAAAATTATTCACTAGTTGGTATTTGCTGCAATTGACTTTTGCAATATTTTCTAGCTAAGAATTGAAGGAGGCATATTATTTATTCAAAAGTTTTATGAGATCGTGAATTTGTAATTAAAAGTTTTATTTAGGAAGCTTTTGAAGTTTTTTCATTAAACAATAACAAAATAATAACTCAGCTAACAGCGAAAATTCAGGATGTCGAGAACAATGTAATTTGCCATGACGTTCAATGTAGAGGGTAAGACGCATAGAATAAGATGAAACTTTTCCTTAGCGATAAAAAAGAAATACTGAAGAAGTTGAATGCTTATAGTTAATTAAGATATTTCGACTTCCCTACCCCCACTTGCAATAAATCATATTTTATTGATGTGCTAATTAGTTCCCATCAATTATTGAAAAATGGGATAAGAGGTGAATGTACTGGCATTACATTTGTATTGTGAATAAGAAAGTATAATATTATTATTCATATAACAGTATTATAATAACAGGAACTAATTTTCATGAACTTGTAAGATACTTAAATTTAATTAAATAATATGATTGATGCCACAGTGATGTCACATATATAGGAATGTTATCGATTAGAGTGAAGTAAGGAGTTATCAAACAACGAATTAAAGTTTCAGAAGAATTTTTTAAAAATCATTTTAAATACGTAAGATTGCAGTTTAAGCATTCATTAGAAATAAAATAAATTTAACGTGATAAGTAAATGTTTAGCGCGTGGCTCTATGCCACCCTTAAATAGAGCAGTAAAGTGGAAGCTCCCTGTACTGCTTTTTTTCTTCAAAAGAGATGATAAGCGGAGACCAGTTGGGAACCGGATTGTTATGTAACTGTGGTTTCGAAAAAATACTACATCAGTATATATTACTGCTAACTCTAGTTGACAGTCAACATTAGAAATAATGCCTAGGTTCTAGTTGTTTCGACGAAGTAAGGATACCCTTTTGCGTGGACCACTTGTTTTATTTAAATTAAATTTGAACACATAATTAGCAAGTAAACAACATATAACATATAGTAAACAATATGTTAGCAACAAAACAATATAGTTGTTTATTTTACAATCACACTTTTTTTCGAAAACATTTTAACCATAGTCTGTGCCCTATTACTATTCCCCTACCTCATAGTAAATCTGAAAAATCATATGAAATATAACAAGGAACCTTTATCTCCTTTATCAGATACAGGTAGTATTCTCTCTTATCAAATACTTCCATTCTGTTAAGATGGTAGCGCATGACAACGCAAGTCATAGGTAACTTGTGGACAACCTCGCTCTAATCTATTAGTGTAACATATCTAAAAGGATTTTTTTTTCAGGTTACACAAACATTTCTTTTATATTAAATATATATTTCTCGCAAAACCTGTAAAACTGTTTTTTTTTAGTGCGAAAAAAATGAAATTGATACTTAAACTCACATTTAAAACATGTGATATATATACCTATATGATAAATGGTGTATAAATGGTGTACATTTAGACATAAATAGCCCTAAAATGTTGTCTATACTGTAATATAGATAAGCTATTGTGCACATATTATGTACTTGTTAAGTTCACTTAAAAAACTTTCAAATGATTTTTTCGCGAATACCACTGGAAGTCTAAAATGCATTTCATGGCCCCGTTGACAGCGCCACAGGCTCAGCTAATGAGGTAATGTTAATAATTTTGCTAGTGCAATAAAAACAACTGATCCAAAGAATTTCCTTTATTTGTCAGTCAATTTAGAGTTTATACTTTTAGACATGAATCTATTTTACGCAAGTAAGTATAGAGGGGAACTACGCATAACAGTATTTTATTTTAATTGTTAAGGCAATGTTTTGAACTAAATAAAAAATTATCTAGTGTCCTTTTAGCAGGTAACAGTCGAGGTATTCATAAATAAATTACAATAAGATAAGATTTAGGTTTGGCTTTGCCGAAGCTTCAAAGAAGCTTTTTCTATATTTATTGCGTTTTAAATTTTTTTTTAAAAATTTATTTAAATAAATTTTTTGGTATGGAATATAAAGCAAATATATACGTACATATGTATAGGAATCACTTTATATTTTTTATTTATATGCAATATATATATTATGAATGAACGAAAAATGTTTACGAACGATTAGTGGACGAGAGAGAAAAATTATACGACGAAAGATAAAATTGTTTTTTGACATTTTGTTATCTAAAAATCCCAAAAAAAGTTTACTTAAGATGAGAACAACAGTCAACAATAAAACAAATTAAATGTACAGAAACTAAAAACCTGTGAATAATTGCGCTTGGTCAATACAGGGAATAATTTAGAAAAGAATGAAGCAATAGGAAAGTTCTATTTTTATGATACATCTGGTCAACTATAACCAAAACTAAATGATATTTCTGTTGTAAATCAACTTCAATTAGAAAGTCTTAGTGATATGATGAAGTACTGAAGTACTGAATCTGAACTAAGGAAAAATGAGAAAAGGTACTATCATCATTGAAGGAGTTAGACGACTAAATATAGATTATACAAATTATTACGAATATGTTTATGAGAATAATAAATTCAAAAAACCTTTACAATAACAGAGTCTGTTTTAGGTTGTGATGCCCGTATATGACACGACTAGTAATAAACGTATATACTTGAAATAGCCTTCGATGTCTCCTTCTTTGCGTTACCTTGACAAACTTAATGCACTGACAATACTGTAAAGAGTGTAAAAAATAGAAATTGTGAAATTGATATTTTGAAAACATCGGAAGCACGTAGAAATGTGATTAGAGCTTAATCCACGTATGTGTATTTTTATGTTCCTCTGTTCTCGTTAGTCAACCTCAGTTGATATCTCCATACCATTCCAGTATCTATAAATTTTATATGGTAGCGCGACCGCACCCAATTACAATGTGTTTTTGCAAATACGATTTTCTGGGTTAATGTTTTTATAAAAAAAAACGCATATATGTATCTAATTTATATACATTCATATGTACAATTTACAATCATCACTCCAAGACAGTACATATTTCTTACTGTTTCCATTTTTAACATTTTACTGCATTTACGTGTAGGCTTTGCATAAAGGGACAT